CCCACAAACACACTCGCGTGAAAGCAAAAGCGTAAAGACTCATAAGAATTTTTTACACAATAAAAAAAATGTTTTTTCTTTATCGACGGTATGTTAGTTCATTTCCCCATTGACAAATGTGTAAATTATTCGGGGACTAATTAATCCATCCAACCCTTCATTAACACTTTTTGTGATGTATTGTTAAGAGAGAGTAAATGTGTGTGGTTGTGATCGTTGTGTTATGCCAGTTATGTCCTTTATATCTGTGTGTATCACGTGACGTCTCTGTGATCACGGTGCGTGCTGTTTCTATATTATGATTTTAAGTGTTTTGCACGTCCTTTTTGCTATAGACGATTGGGAATAGTTGTCTTGAGGGGGACCAAATAAAGAGGGGTGGGGCTGCACCCTGAAAGTCTCGATTCGGGTCAAAATCGTCATGTCATTTTGGGTTTCTTCAACCTCTCTTACAACTATTTCATCGCATAAAATCCCCCTAAAGCCTTAATTTTTTTTATTACATAACTGGCATGTTAGTCGTCCCCATTTCCTCATAAAGTCAGTTAAAAAAAAATTATTGCCTGTTTTCTCAAAACTCGATTTTTCTATATAGTTTTTTGAATAATTCCACCATTTTTAATCCAATCTTCTTGAGATTTTCACAGAATGAAGACATGATGCAACACTAAAAATTCGTCTGTTGAATTTTCTATATATATATAACATTGATTTTTGTTGGTGGTGACTGTAGTGTGGATTTTCACGGATTTTTTGCAAACTTGAATGCTACCTCAGGAAAATAAATCCTTAAAAAATATTGTAATTCGTATAGGAAAAATTCAACAGCCAAATTTGTAGATGACTTATCGTCTGCCAACATGCATGCAATATAACTACCTGTTTCCGTGAAAAATAAGTGCGGTATTCATAGTGTAAGACATGTCAACAAAATCCAATATGGACGTCATCTCCATGGAGACGCTGTTTCCTTTGAACGCAAGTCCGTGAGTCCGGTGGAAAAGATGTAATAGACCAGACCATCAATGATTTATTTATAGAGGCTCCAGCCATCCATGTCTAGGTGCTGTTTTAGCCTCTTTTTCCTGTATTCGGATTAATAATATCCTTTTGCCAATTTATTGGTTCCGCTTCTATGTACCCCATATCTATGGTTCTCAACCTGGAAATCGCCTATAATTCGCTGT